ACTATTTTATTTGAATGTGAAGTACAAAAAGTGCGCCTTTTTTTTAAGGCATACTTTTTGTACCTCGCTGGCTTAGCCCTCGGTTAAACCGGTGTAAGCAAACATTTATGTGCTATTCATTAGTACGCCTCGATAATTTTCTGGTACTGATATGTGCAATTCGAGAAACCCAGGACGATTTTGCCCTGCTTTGCCTTGTCGGGTGTGAAACCACAATCTTAGGAACAATCGTGTTCATGAAAAAATATCATGCCACCCAGAAAGCAAGCACATTTGTTTTCCAGAGAACGAATGTTTGACAATTAAATCATGTTTGGTCGGTAATATGAAGTGGAAAATCTTCCAGTACATATAGATAATGCGGAAGAAACAATCTTTGTTCATACAACGCCTTTCATTTGCTTCCATTATATTTTTTATAATTTGCGCCCATTATTATTCACATCTTCCATGTAACTCAAATTTTCCAAACAATGTATTGCTGGAATTTTGTTCTGGTAGTTGCACTATGTAATTTCGCTAGTTGACCTGTTGCAGGAGAATACCGAGGTCCAGTAACTGTGGAGGAATCACTGGTGCCAATCGGAGCGGCTGCAACGATTCACTGCGAGACCATTACTCAGCAATATTCACTGGACTGGCGTAAAGATCTACGACCGATTGCGGAGTGTGAACGAATTGTGAAACAAGATGCAGCTGATGGATTTGAACACAGTCTCACCATTTATAGTGTTCGAAAAAGCGATGAAGGCGAGTATGGCGTTGTCATCAAGGATTCATACACAGCGGTCACGAAAATTACCGTCGTCGGTGAGCAACTGTATTCAAAAATGGCGTTTTAAATTCGTATCTTATCCAGTGAGCAAGTGAAGAACATTCGCCCTATAATGCAGCTGTTAAACTGAAATTACGACTGGGAGGGCAAGCCATAACAAGGGGAAGGCCACATCGATAAGAAACGTCTATTACGCGATAGTGCACAAAGGGGGCAAAAAGCACAGGATTCGGCTAAGGGTTAATCAGCTGGATGCCAACTTAAATTGCAGTGATGCAGAAAGGAGGCTTTATACAGCTGGGAAATCAATGTATAGACAGGCTGAAAATGGGAATTGCCAAGTTCAGTAGTGCGCTGTTATAAAGTGACACATTATTATAAAAGGTTGTTAGCCGTAAAATGTGGTAAACCGCAGTTACCGATAGTTTTTGCCCGGTTTTGGGCAGCAGTAAGATAGTACTAACAGTAAGAACGTTCACTGCTTCACAGGTTGATAAGTGTACTCACGTAGAAAATATTTTTCTTTGTTATTTCTTCCACGTTCGGGAATGAACCATCGGCTGTGCACCCTTGTAAAATTTCAGTTCCCAGCTCGAAATTTCACTTGCTTGCATGAGTTTAGGCGTGTTTCGAAGCTGAATTGAGAATTTTTAGGTCGCACATAAGCAGAAAATATCCACGTAAAAGTTTATTTTTCCGTCTTGCTCAATTCACAAAGTCGTTTTCCCGCCAAAACTTTTTCGGTCCCAGCTGCATGTGGAAATTGATTCTATTTTTACAGGGGCATTACATACGCCAAAACATTCTTAGGAACATTCTCCTAAAATTACAACTCCCTAGCTTCTTTGGTTGCTCAACTGAAAATGGGGTAAAATTCGAACGCATGTGTTTTTACATTTTATCTATGATACAAAAACGTATAAAAGTACCTGTTGGCATATACCCTTCTCTTTGAAAAAAAAAAAAAACACCAGAAGCAATCATATCTGTCTTATATGGGTTGACTGAATTATTCAGTATTTCATTTACGGGATATGGATTTGCAGAATCGCAGGAGCAAAGCACAACGGAGCAGTTCAGCATCTCGCTTTGCCCACGTTCGTCATCGTTGTGTAATGAAGTGTCGGTGCATTTATTCGACCGTGCTGATCATCACGAGGAGTATCAGTGGTGTAGTGTGGAGGAATATTTTGATTTACGTTTTTCCATGCAGTCAGTCGAAGTTCCGGTAACGGTCGGTGAGCGGCGGTCCGAATCGATCAGCTATCGTTCCCGGGAGTCGTCGATCCAGGCGCTGGAGGAAGAACTTCGCGTACAACGTGAGCAACCTATTGCTGCTAGCGAGGATTTCACCACTGCTACCCAGGCATCCGTGAGCACAGTCACAGAGTGCACTTATGTAACCACGAATGCCCGCTTTCACTTCACCTCCGGCAGCGAAACATCGGCCGCTGCTGAAATCGTAGTTTTAAAGCAGTTAGCGTTACAGCATTTCGCACACACCCAGCTTCTCAGCCCAAAACTCATCTCACTTCAAATTAACCTCATCAAGCAACCGTCTGCTGAGCAACTAACACTGATTGTACGTGCACAGCGGCAAATTACCGATAGCTTAGAAAAAACGCTTTTTCATCACCGTCACTTGCCAGAGCAACAGGTCACGTTAGATGCAGTGCTTCAACAGCGGCCACGGATTGTCGAAGGGGCCGCCACTGAACGCAGCATTCCTAGGACGCAAGCAATGGAAACAAGCTGCCACGCTTCAACACTACAACAGTTTGACGTTTCCGCAACATTCACTAGGCTGCCGCAGCAGCAAACCGTTGGAGCAGAGGTGCTGATGAAGCAGATCGTGTATCCGGAAAAAATAATAAGTCACTTCGGCGCAAATGCCGTCTGGCTGCAACTTATAGTAGTGTCTAAAATACAACAGGCTGCTTTTGCGGAAGCCCAAGTTGCTAGTGTTCGAAAGGAAATGCTACAGAAGAAAAGCAAAGCTTCTAGCACAGATACTGTCGAACAAACAACAGCAATCACGACCCCAAATCAGCTTCAGAGTGCCGAGCTAACATTGACTTCAAAACCGCCAGTAACAATTGTTACCACTGGAGCGAAATACACGAGTTCTGTTGCTAAATTGGAAACCATGTTGTGGTCTGGTATCGATCGTAATTTATTTGTAACTGAAATAGTACCTCTGATCCGAACAGATAAAATGAGCATGCAGTCAGTGGCTTCAACTCAACAGGAATTAGCCGTTATCTTTGGCCTCAGTAAGCCATCTCGAACTGGCCAAAAAGAAATAACATTGTGGAGAAGGGCTCTTACAACTTGTATTGTTGAACGGAGTTTCGTGAGCTCTCTAGCAAAGTGCGAATTCGAACTGTACTCTCAAGCCCGGCAAAGCTTTTTCGTTGATGCGGATATTCGAACCACACGCCTAGAACGACTAGATGCCAGGCTTTTAGGCTCTGTATCAGAATATTTTGTAGCGTCGACAGCATTCAATCTGCAACCGCAGTCGGACGCATGTATGAAAACTTTGCTAGCAAAAGCTGCAACAGTTATCGAAAAAGCAAATCGATCCTTTTCTGATGCTCATGTTACAGTACTGCATGACCTGCAGCCAAGTGTGCCACGTGAGTTCCACTTCGAAGTTACTGCTTCAGTTCCACCAAGGAATGCGTGTAGTGCTTGGTTCAAAGCTTCATCTGTCGAGATTTTACATATCATTGCATCTTTCGAAATTCAGTGTCAGGAAAGTAGTGTTACAGCAAGCGTTTTTACGAGGGCAGCAACCATTGTTGAAAAATCTAAACGTGCATTTTCTGATTCTGAAGTTCAAATAACAGCCGAATTTTTGTCACGATTGGACCGTAGTTTGAAGATTGAAGAGCAAGTGGCTGCTACTCGAAAAGTTTTGTGCATGCAAAAATTGAAGGAATTCGTTTTTGAAGAAGAGAATATTGTAAGCATGATTGAAGTTCGGCCGGAGAAAGAAGTACTGGAAGTTACATTGCTTACACCAGCTCCGACAATTGTGGAGAAGACATGCCGGTCACTATCCGATGCAGTCACGAACACCATTACTGAGCTGTGGTCACACATTCAGAGTGTTTTAGGTGCTGAATGTCGCATTTTGATAAGTCGAAAAGAAACGCTGGAGCTCTATCTAAAAGCCTTGGAACAAGAAAATATCACAATTTATGGAACGTTTGGCATTCAAGAGGGCGCCGAAAACATTGTCGTTACTTTGCTGACGCGAGCTCCGACTGTGGTCGAGATCGCTGATCGTCGTTTTACGTCCAGTGTTGTAGCGCTGGCAGTAGAACTGTGGTCACAACTATGCGAAGACGCTTCTGCAGCTGTGGATATATATATCGCTCGCAGAAGCGCCATCGGCACAGATCTGAGAGCTTCGGCTCTGGAGGAGGGAAGTCTTACAACAAGTATCGAGGTAGAGCCACAGGCGGAAACGCTGGAGGTTACTTTATTGGCACCGGTTATGACGGTCGGTCAAAAAACACACCGCAACTTTTTTTATGAATCAGCGGATCTGTTTGCAACTGTATGGTCACAGTTACCAAGTAGCTTCTATGCAGATGCGAAAATTCCGATGCGCCATGTGATAACTCTACAAAAGTATTTGGAAGCTTGCGGTGAAGTGAGTGCCAGCATTCTTACAAGTTTTGAAGTTCAAGCCGAAGCACAAACAGTCGTAACGAGTTTGCTGGAACGGGATTCTCCTCTAATCCTTGAAGCGGCTGCAAGGCATTTTTCAGTTGTTAATGCAGGACTAGCTGCCGAATTCTTGTCACAATTGCATCAAGAAGCTTCTGCGCATGTAAGCATCTCTGTAGCACGGAAAGATGTCCTGCAAAACCAACTGCAAGCTTCATCTTCTGAAGTACAAACACTTTTGACAACCATTGCAATGCAGCCAGAAATTGCGAACTTTTCAGTAACTTTGCGTGCTCCTGCACCGACGATCATGGAGAAAGCAAAGCGTGCCTTTTCATCAGCCGTTACCGAAATTGTCTCTGAACTACAGTCAAAAACGATGAATGATTTTGAAATGAGTAACGTAATACGAGGTGCGCTGCGTGAAGCAGCAGAAGCGCAGTTAAGTGCTGCAGGAGAGGAAAGCATATGGCTTGTGAAGAGTATCCAGGCGGAAGCCTGTCTGCAGGGTATTGGAATGACACTGCTTGTACGAGCTCCACCAATCTCCGCAACAGTCAGTCGCTCATTTTCAGTAGCATTTTCAGACCTGAGCACTGATTTCAGTATAGAAACCCAAACACATTGTGTACACGCTATTCGACAACTTACTTGCAAGGAGGAGCACCAGGCTAGTATGTTTGCATCTGTTTCGGAAAGTACCGAAATTACAAGTTCGTTTGAAATGCAGTCGGAGGAGCTCTTATCGGTGACGCTTGCTTCCAGCAACTTTTTAGCTGTTAAAAAAGAATTCAGCGATGAAGTAGCGAAGCTCGATGTTGAACTCTATTGCTATACGTGTCCCGCTGGAAGCGTTGCGGAAGCAGTCATCCTAACACTTCCACCACCGAAACGTGAGTGCCTTTGCTATACGACGTGCGCTGCAACCCAGTACTTTAAAGAATTCATCGAAGACATTATAAGCGTTGCCAGTGAGCGTGTTTTCGAGGAATATATTAAAACTGTCAATGCAGTGATTGAGCTTCACCGAATTCCAGCGACTCAGTCCTCCAGCATTCTCATCCGAATGGAACGATCCGCATCTGCTATTCAGGTGAACGAGGTAAAGCTCATAACTATGCAACAAATTAACCAGAGCAATCCTCTAGAAACTGCTAAATTGCTGTGGCGAAAAAGCAACTGTTTTCATGTGCTCTTCAGTTTCCACTTAGGCATTCTGAAGAAAGCATAATTAAAGCATGGTTAGGCCGCAGCTGTGACATTTTTTCCATGCGTTGCCGTGTGAATGTTATGACGCATTCGGCTCCAAAACCTTTTCCACTCCAAACCGCATTTCTAGTGTGTTACGCTCATTTTTGACATGGATGCTCTTGGATCTGCCGCACTAA